AGGGGACCACAAATAGCAGTAGCAACAAGATGATTGGGAAAAAATAGATGCTACAGGTTTTGACCTTACACCACAGATGAGGCTTATAACTGCAATCCAAAGACCTACAACCATAGGGACCCTGAGATGTGAGAGGACGCTACAAAGTTTAGGTCGGAGTGGTGTGATGGATGGAGTGATGAAGGAGGAGGATGCAAGCTAATTGCATATGGGGCTGGAAGACGAGGATGCCCTAGCGCTGGGCTAGCAAACAGGTTGACTGGACTGGCATTAGGAAGGTTGATTCAGTCATTTGCGTGGGAGAGGATTGGTGAAGAGAAGGGTTGATCCAAAGTCTTTACATTTGAAACATAAGAGTACAAAACACAGCAGAAGCCAGAAAGCATAAAGTGGTTTTACCTTCACGCCCTATTGGAGAATTCAGTCTTCTCAAGTGTGAGAGGGTGGATGCGTATGTCAAACGATTTAACACCTGCGACACTCCAGCCCTTGTACCAGCTGCATTTGCTTGTCCCCAGTTTCCAGTGGCAAGTGAATATTTGAGGCCACTCGTGATGGTTTTAGCTTTGATGGCAAATTGCAGATTAAGATCCTTTCCATTGTCAACACACTGCAACATGAATTAAATATGTAAGTAAAAACCCAAATAAAATAGAAATCTAATAAATTCAGGGTTCATGTAAATAACCTTCTGTGCATAAGCTCTCACATCCTTAGTCAACTTCCTGAATAGCTGCGATTACATAAACAGTTCCATGGTCAACAACATAATGGTAAAAAATTCATACAACCTTTAATTTCCACTAAAAACATATACATTTCTAAACAAGCCTCCAAGTAAGGGACCAGCAAGATCAAGCCGCTTGTTTCCATAATGATCCCTGTCATCCTCTGGCCTCCGACCAAGTGCACAGAGTAGAAGCCTGTGAACGATATATCTGGAACAAGCGCAAATGCCCATTTAGTTAACAATTCAAAATCCAACTGGATGCTAATGCATATCCTAAAAACCTACCCAAAATAGTAAGCTTTCTTTGTCTCACAAAATTCTCCAACACCAACGTGTGGAAGCATTTCCTTTTGTAGAATCTCTTTCGCGTACTTGATTCTCTTGTCTCTACTTACACCAACATTTGCACCTCTCTTTCCAATATAATCTAATGCAACCTGTAGCAGAAAATAGATAATAAGCCACATGCTAAAAAGTATTTGAGAAACTTGTAGACATCAAACCATGAAATAGATAAAACACCTGTTGATTCTGAATCACAAATGCTTCTTCCAAAGAAGGTCTGAGCAACTCCATCATTTGAGTATCAGAAAAGTCATAACATATGTGCTCGAGGATGTCTTTATCGGCAACAAACCCAAGAGCCCGGAAAACGATGATAATAGGAATTTCCCCTTTAATATAAGGAAGTGTAGCTTTGATATACTGTCCCGAAGAACCCTGCAATAATACAAATGCAAACAAACAAAATGAAAACAAAAAGCAGACACTACATGAACAAAAATAAACAATACTGCCACAATCAGTTTCATTACCCCTTTAGAACTAGTCCGGGCAAGCATCCGAACAAACATGGTACTGGGCGGCCTGTTTTGAGACTCCGCCATAGACCGAACTTCAGCCACATAGGCATACTTGTTCGGCTGCCTCTTCTTGAACACATAGACATGATTGGTGCTCATCTTCTCTTGAGCAATAAGAACCTTTTCACTCCCATTTATAATAAAATATCCACCTTGATCGTATGGACACTCTCCCAGCTCAGTTAAATCTTTCTCTGAATTCTGGTACAGTGTGCAATAACTAGACCGAAGCATTATAGGAACCTGATAATATGCAACAAAACAAATTCAACCAAGTTGTTGACTAGCACTGTTAAACTCATCCATCGTTATTGAAATAATTATAATCACATTACACACCTTCCCAATGAATACTTTGGTGAAATCCTGGGTCTCGGTGAGTTCTTCGCCATCGTGTCCTTTCTTTATCATCCTCTTTGAGACATCCACATACAAGGGTGCTGAGTACGTCAGATTTCTCAGCCTTGCAGCTTTGGGAAATAAGGTTGCAGTTTCTCCATCAGATTCGGTCATCATGGGCTTACTCAAATAAATCTGACCAAAGCTAATCTTGCATACAGTCTGTAATCCAACCCAACAGTGTTAAAGCTCCAAACAACATAACCATGACAAATGCTTCAAATTCTACTTTCATTTTGTACTAAATAATTAACCGGCATAAAGATATCCTAGCTCCCAATTGCTTATCCAATTTTAGTTTTTTGCACCAACTATTACCAATAAATTCAACAAAACTACAAAGCTCAGATTATTTAATGACGATGCCATTTGCTTGAATACAACAGTATTAAAGCTCCAAACAATGCTCCAATCCAAATTCTCCTTTCGTTTCGTAACAAAGAAATCAACTGTGACTCTGTGAGAATAAAACCCTAGCTCCCTTGCTTATAAGTTTGTGGTTTTGTGCACCAAGTATAACCCCTAAAACTACAAAAATTAGGAAGCTTGAATTCGTTAACAACAATACCATTTAATAGAAATTCTACCATTGGTAAAACTAGCCCTAAAACCCATTGGCAAACCGGCCCTAAAACCCCCGTTTGTTTCCCTAGAGAAAACGCAGGCAATTTCACACCCATAATTTCCCGGGAGGAAACCCTACCTCGGCGAAATCAGGCTGGTGCCCCGGGTTGTGCTGCGACTCAGGCCGAATCTCGATATCGGCCGACTCGTCGACAATCTCCTGCATTGTGTTCTGAATGAACTCGTCGAACGAGTCGAGCTGCTGGCGCACCAAGCCCTTCTCCTCGAAGTAGGCAGAGATGACGGCCCACGCGTCCTCCTGCGTGATTTCGTCTTCGTCGTCGTCCTCCATGTACTGCTGATCGTCGTACTCGTGCTCCTCCTCCATGATCTACGGTGGCGGATTGGGATTCGAAACCCTAGGTCTGGGTCCGGTTTGGTTCTCTGCGCCCGATTGAACGGGGTCGTTTGATAGTGCGAGCGAAACCCTAGCGGAGCTTCTTCGCCGTTGGGGTTCGGAGGAGACTTTACGGGGAGAATTGCGGAGTTGGAAATGTCGAGCGAAGTGAGCTTTTATTTGGTTTATGCGTTTTGGACAAGGTGGTAGAGCGGTGGTTCAGTTGGATAAAAAACGACGTAAAGATTGAGGCGGTTTCGGTCGTAAGATAGAAAAACGACGTTGACTCTCGTGGTGGAATAAACGCACTCACACTATGAAACCTAAAAGACACATTTATTTTTATTTTTCATACACTCTTGTTAATTTTTATATTGTTCTTCTTTAATTCATTCGATTCGACGATTGAAAATAAAATACCCTAACTACTCCTCATGGGGGAAGTATTCTGATATTTGACGTGTGATCTTAATTTCAAACTTAGTGTTTAAAGATGAATGCGGCTTTTGATGGTTCATCTAGTCACCGATATGACTAATACCAGTTTTCACCCTCTTGGCAACATATTGATTACTACAGACAGTTTATGAGATGTATTGGAGGTTGTGAACTGATTCATGTGTATTAGGAGAAAAACATGGTTACGGATGACCTTATTAATTGGAGTTATAATATGAATTTTGAATATTAATATTTTGAGTATCTGTGTAAATGAATTGAGATTCGTTTATTTGATGATATGTTAAGAGTCACTAGGACTCGCCTTGTCTGTAATAATATATCTTTGAGCTAGCTTTCACCCCCTGTTCATTACCAATTTTGATTACAATTTGGTATAAAAAAAGATATTATTTTAAAGTGAATGGAGGGATAAGGCAATGAGGTAGAAACATCAGCATTTAAGAAATTAAGAGGTAGAAACATCAGCATTTAAGAAATTAAGAGGCAGAAACAATAAAATGGGAGCAAAACCGTCAAAACACTATTGAATGACCATTATTTTTATAGGAAAACTAATGAAAAGGGGTTGAAAACTTTGAGTTTTAACGATAAAGACAAAATAAAGGGTAAAGTGAATAGTACCAGGATTTATTTTTTAGCATCAAAATGTGGTTTTTCATAAAATGAACAGTACATGAAGCTTTTCGTTAAAGTTCCTTATTTTTATTACCTTTTAGCATATATGGAATTTCCTTCTCATTATACTCTCATTATGTTCACTTCTCTTTTGGACAAGCAATGATATAAGGATAATCAAACTCATGTGAAAAACTCTTACTTAACAAAGTTAAGTTTCTTGACACATTTCCTTCACTTTTACTATTTCAATTCTTTAGGCTTTGTAGACTCGTGTAGATTAAGACAAAAGTAAAACCAACCCTAGATGTAGCTAGACTTTGGTCAATCACGTTCAATGGTAAACGTCACTCTTGTGATCATTGGCTCATTTGATACAACTTATGGAAGAAGTACTTGTACTCGTACATATTTTTCTTTAAGCGTTTTACTAGAACCATGTACAAGTTTTTATTAAAAATCCAAATGCTATTTGACCTTTTGGCCGATTCATATCACGAAACATAATCAATAAATGAGAACAATCGATCATGTGGTGTGCATGCATGCATGCAATCACATATCCCCTATAAAAGAAAAACTAATGAAAATGGTTTGAAAACTTTGAGTTTTAATGATAAGGACAAAATAAAGGGTAAAGTGAATAGTAACAGGATTGACTTTTTAATGTAAAAATATAGTTTTTCGTTAAAATGAACAGTACCGGGTGTTTTTTGTTAAAATTTCCTAATATAAATGGACCGTGCTATGATCCGTTAATTTACACACAAATTCTTCATCAAAACTTTGCTTGTAGAAGAAGCCACGTGTCAAGCTCTGAACGGACCCAAAACGGGTTTAGTCGGGCGGGGGCCCGTGTTGCTGTGTAAAAGTTTAATTGGCTGGTATTGCGGCAATCTTCAGACTCTTGTACAATTTGCAGGTAACCAAACCCTTGTTGGTGTAAAGAAATACAAAGAAGACAAGTGCCCTCCCTCCGACCTCCCGGTCCTCTCCCCACCACCTATCTGTCCTCCTAACACACTTTCTACATCTACCCTCTTCTGCTCTAAATATACCCCTCAGCATTTCGATCTTCCCTAGCTTAGTTCTTCGTTTCGTTGTAAAACTCTGTCGTTTAGGTTAACTTCTCCATGACTCAGACCAGGAGGATCTTCACCTTTGTGCTGAGGCTGCTGGCCTTGGCTGCTACTGTTTCTGCCACCATAGTTATGGTCAACAGCCACGACTCTACCAGGGTCTTGAACTTGACCTTCAAGGCCAAATTCAGTGATTCCCCAACTTTCACGTAAGTTTACTCTTCAAGTTTCTCCAAGTTTGTAACAAATTCGCAAATGTGAGTTAGGTCAGTTTGTTAAAGGCAATATGCATCCGAGTTCGGTAGACCGTCGACCTCTCTCTCTCTAGATAGTCCATTTCCTCGCAATTAATCATCTTCTTAATGTATGTAACTTTTTCTTTGTTTTAAAACATGTGAAAAGGTACTTTGTGATTGTGGAGGCAATTGTAAGTGGATACAACCTTATAATCCTGCTTCTTTCTTCAAAGGGCTCACTGTGGCGCATAGTTATCATCCTAGATGTGGTAATAACACCATATCATTAAGTAAATTCTTCCTTTTTTTATTTGAAATAATGACATGTTTATCAACATGGAATCGAAGTAAGAAGAAGTCGGATTGAGGATAAGGATTTGCATGAAACAAAAACACTAAAGTGTCAGTGTCCCAAACCAATTATGCAGTGCCATGTGAAAAAGTTACACGTGATAGACATGCACCGGGTGGAAACCATCACTTTAGTGTGCTTGTTTCATGTAAGTATGTCTTTGTCACGAGAACCGTTATTCTAATTTCCATTGTAATGGGAACTGAGGGATTGAAACTGTTGCAGGTTGCAGCTCTTCTTCTTACTTCAAGCATGTCAGCAGCCTTGACGATAGCTCAAGTGGGGAAGAAAGGGAACACTCACGCTGGTTGGCTGCCAATTTGTGGACAAGTCTCCAAGTTTTGCAACCATGTCAGTGGAGCTCTTGTTGCTGGCATCCTTGCAGCAATATTTTACTATGTGCTTAATCTATTTACTCTTTACAATGTTCTTAATCCTCTCTTTGTGGCAAAACCTAATTAATTACCTTGAAATTCTGTTGGGTTAATTTTCCTTTCGATGTCTCTCAGCATTTCTGCTTTTTCCACTGTAAAAAATTGAATGTAATATTGTACTTGAATGGCTGTTAATTTGGAATTTATGAAAAAGTCCTTTTTATATTATTTTTTTCGGAAATGTCCTCGTCAAATATTTTTTTTTCTCTTTCATACTGATAAAGGAGGAGGGGGAGGGCGTCAGGTAGTCGACAGCCGGCACTCCATGATCACGTCGAATCCTTATGAAAATACTATTTATGAGTATGACGAATGATTTTAGAAAAATATGATCAACTGCCACAGGCTTATATCTGTTTCTTTGAGATTGTAGAAATTTTAATTGTTAATTAGGTGACTTGTCTCAGGGTTAAGTGTGTGATTTTGATGTGTGAAAATTAACATTTTCCCTAGTAGTAGGCAATGTCCTATTGCCTTTTAATAAGACATATATTGATGTTAACAGCGTCATCGGGATATATCTTAGTTTTTTTTTTTTTTAACAAACGATATTATCTATACTAAGAAGAATGAGTTGACTTAATCTCACAATAGGCTAACAATAACGTGATTTGATTGCATAACTTGGTTACAAAACCATTAGCTACAATTTTGGACAAATATTACCATTTTGGTGGTGTTTCATCGTCTTTTTTTATTCTTATTGGTTTAGGGTTATTTCTCAAAGTTATATTTCATATTAAAAAAAATACTTAAAAGTTAAAAATAACATTTAGAAAAAAAAATCTTGTACTCAAATGTTAATATGACATTAATAGTTGATATAAGTGATGTTTTTGTTCAATCATTTGATTCTTCTAAATGTTTCTTCTTAAAATTAACAGATGTCACGACTTTCTTGTTAACATTAACATAGGTAAGGAAAACTACACTAATTCAATAGTAATCCAGCAGATTTTGTCTACTTCAAAGATTAATTCAAGCTAATATATCCAGTAGATAAAGGAATCTCAAGCACATCCAAGATATGTGATCCAACGGTCGGAATAACCTGAAGATGTATGTGATGCACATTGAACACAAAACTAAATTTTCTCCAGAAGCCAACTGAAAATCTGGATTCTGGAACCAACAAACACAACCTACATGGCCACATGGCCTTAACTCATGGAAATGGAATGATGAAAATAGAGTTCAGGTTATTTATTAGACCTGGTTTGGTACTGAGGTGATTTTGAAAAAAAACTGGTATAAAAAAAAGCTGAGAGCTGTTTTTGTGTTTGGTAAACATTCACCTTCAGCCTTTTTTCACAGTTTTTGGTGAAAAAAAAGCCAAAAACAAGAAGCTGCAAAACCCAGCTTTGAAAAACCGGTTTTTTTTCACATTTGTTTTACATAAAAGTTTACCAAACACTATAATACTGTTTTTTATTTTCAAAAGCACTTTTACAAAAAAGTTTACCAAACACTTTGCTGTTTTATTTCACAGTACAGCAAAAGCAGCTTTTTTTTCAAAGCACAGTAATACCAAACCAGCCCTTAGATATCTTCAGTTGATTGCTTCATCTACTCTAGGATAGCCTCCTGATAGCTGTTAATATTATCGAGAAACACTTCATTTTGGCAATGGGAAAGTTAATAAAGAACAACATGAACCATGCTTTGAGCCTTTGACGGCTAGACTTGGTCCAACGTTGTTGCAAGGTTTGCTCTTTCCTAAGTCCTCTGCAAGGGACAATGAAAATAGTTTTTGATGAGACGATGTGATAAACTACTCTAATTTATAAATAAGATATTTTAAATTCTGTAAGCAGCAAACACGATGCTCTATCTAACTGGTCTAATCCACATCTACTTTTTAATCATTTTTACCTTACTTTCGAAACATAGCCACTTAAAACCTCTTCAAGCCTTGAACCAAGGCTTTAGTTTTTTGTATGGCAGCAGTATAAAAGCAGCATACACAAACACCGAAAATCGCATATTTTTGTGAGACAGTCAGTCGGACCATAGACAGACTATGCAATGTTGGTCCGACATTCGTACACGAGCAGTCCCTGGCCTAGTCATGAACGGCAGAAAGAGATCATTTCCTAATCTCTTTCACCAAGACCACCGAATCAAGTGATTTGGATCTTTCAAATTTCATCAAATGATCCACCTGTTTTGACTCCTTAAAAACTGTGATAATGTTTTTATCGTTGAATGAAATTTGAAAGGTCTGATTATTTGATCCGGTGATTTTGATGGAAGAGATCGATAATCTCTTTCCATGAACGGCTACTGCTGTCAGAGACCGGGTGACGAGGAGGAAAAGGAAACCCCTCATGGATGTTAAAACGCTGCGCTTTGCACTAGAGTTTGCTCGCGCGAACTGCAAATTAATTTGTAATGCGTGTTAAAACTTAAAACGCTGCGTTTGGAACAACACATACAATTCCCTTCTTTTTCATGGAAGCCAAACAGCTCCGGCACGATCTCGGAGTCGCCGGTTCAGCCCCGAAGTCTCCGGCCTACCTCGCTCTTCTCCGAGCCGGTCCGCGGATCAAACCGCTGCAACAAGTCCACGCCCACCTCGTCGTGTCCGGTTCGCACCGCAGCCGCGCCCTCCTCACCAAGCTCCTCACTCTGGCCTGCGAAGCCGGTTCGATTTTCTACACTCACCGCCTCTTCCTCTCTGTTCCGATCCCGGACGCCTTCCTCTTCAACTCCCTCATCAAAGCCTCTTCGAAGTTCGGCTTCCCGCAATACACCGTTTTCTTCTACCACAGCATGCTCGCCTTCTGCATTCCGCCGTCGAGCTACACTTTTACGTCGGTGATTAAATCGTGTGCCGATCTTTCTGATCTGAGACTCGGAAGAGGCGTTCATTCGCATGCTTTGGTATGTGGGTACGGCGCGGATTCGTTTGTTCAAGCCGCTCTCGTTAGCTTGTATTCCAAGTCTGGAGATTTGGGTGCCGCCTGGAAGATGTTTGATAAAATGCCGGACAGAAATGTTGTGGCTTGGAATTCGATGATTTCGGGTTATGAGCAAAACGGGTTATCGAAAGAAGCGATTGTGGTGTTTGATCAAATGCGGGAATTGGGTGTTGAACCTGATTCGACGACTTTCGTGAGCGTATTGGCGGCTTGTTCTCAGTTGGGAGCTCTTGGCTTAGGCTGTTCGGTGCATCGTGATGTTATTAACAGTGGCCTTCATGTGAATGTGGCTCTAGGCTCTTCACTGATTAACATGTATGCTAGGTGTGGGAATGTGAGCAAAGCAAGAGAAGTTTTTGATTCGATGAAGGAACGGAATGTGATTGCTTGGACGGCTATGATTTCTGGGTATGCAACGAATGGTTATGGTACTCAAGCTGTGGAGCTCTTCCGTGAAATGAAAGCTCGCGGTCCTGTTCCTAACACCATCACTTTTGTGGCAGTCTTGGCGGCTTGTGCTCATGCAGGGCTAGTTCCAGAAGGCCGGGAGGCTTTTGCAAGCATGAGGCAAGATTACGGCTTAGTGCCAAGTGTGGAGCATCATGTTTGCCTAGTTGATATGCTCGGGCGTGCCGGGCTTCTCAATGAAGCATATCAGTTGATTAAAGAGCTTGGTGCTGAGGAGGCAGCCCCGGCTGTTTGGACTGCCATGCTTGGGGCTTGCAAGATGCACAAGAATTTCGATCTTGGAGTAATAGTTGCTGAACATCTGTTGGAGGTTGAGCCTGAAAATCCTGGCCATTATGTAATGCTTTCGAATATATATGCACTGGCAGGCCGGATGGATCGGGTGGAAATGATTAGAAACATGATGATGGGAAGAAGCTTGAGAAAGCGAGTTGGCTATAGCACGATTGACTTGAATCACAGAACCTACCTGTTTAGCATGGGAGACAAGTCCCACCCTGAAACTAGTGAAGTTTATCAGCATTTAGATGAACTAATGTCCCGGTGCAGGGAAGCAGGGTATGCACCGGCGCCTGAGTCAGTGATGCATGAAGTGGAAGAAGAAGAGAGGGAATATGCCCTTAGATATCATAGTGAGAAGCTTGCAATCACATTTGGGCTGTTGAAAACCAAGGATGGTGTGTCCATTCGGATTGTAAAGAATCTTCGAATGTGCGAGGACTGCCATGAGGCAATTAAGTTTATTTCTATAGTTACCAAACGAGAAATTATTGTTCGGGATAAGCTTCGGTTTCACCACTTCAAAGATGGCTCCTGTTCGTGTATGGATTACTGGTGATGAATGAGATCACCTCCGAGGCTCCAACTAATCGTCTAGTTAGCATTAGGAGGATTTAAGCTGTCCTCTACAACAAAGACATGATTCGAAATAGGGTTCTATCACATTGCTTGGATTGCAAGCAGAGACAACTGGCAGATCACCGGTAACCAGGATCAAATGCAATGTTATGACTTTCTGGTCAATCTATGGAAAGGCTATTACCAATTGCTTCTTATGGGCCACCGAGTATGGTGCATCGGACCAAAGCTGAAATGCTGAATCGAAGAACCAGATCAGCGATGTCGCGAAGCATTAGTCGAGCTCAAAATCTCGAGGTTCGATGAAAAATGAAGCGAAAATGATATAGATAAACTGTTTCTGTATCTCTATTGTACCATTTTTGATCTCAAAATATGTTATGAGTCAAACTTTGTGCATGAAAATGTGGTGAATGTTGGAAATGAGAACTCTAATGATGCAGAAATATGCCACTGGTCTAGTGGTCCATGAAGGTGGGCTTTGGGTCTTTCCTATGCTTCATAGTCCGCCTAGTTGCATTCTGGTTGGACACCCAACATTTTTGAGTTACCAACTACTGTTTGTCTGGTGATGTATTTCTTTTAAACGTTAGAATACGTCTCAAACTCGAATCCTCAACTAGATATGTGCTTCTTGCAGGAAGATTAAAGTGAATTTTCAGGATATACTTAGATTTTTACTAAATATTGATTTCAAAAACATTTTCACCAAAAGTTGTTTTCAGTCGTATTGAAACGCTTTCAAACAAGCCCTCATTTATACAAAAAGAAATTAAAATTTAGTGTGGTTTGCGATGAATATATGACACGTTCTTGGTTCGATTCTTGTCGCTGATGAATCACACAATGATGACTAGTTGCTGATCTTCCTAGCTCTTATAAAAGTCCCTTTAAAAAAACAGAAACAATCATAAGTATATC